GAGCAGGGCAGAGTCCCGGCTGCAGGGCAGAGTCACCGCTGCAGGGCAGAGTCACCGCTGCAGGGCAGAGTCACGGAGCAGGGCAGAGTCACTGCTGCAGGGCAGAGTCCCAGCTGCAGGGCAGAGTCACCGCTGCAGGGCAGAGTCCCAGCTGCAGGGCAGAGTTCCAGCTGCTGGGCAGAGTCACTGCTGCAGGGCAGAGTCCCGGCTGCAGGGCAGAGTCACCGCTGCAGGGCAGAGTCCCAGCTGCAGGGCAGAGTTCCAGCTGCTGGGCAGAGTCAGTGCTGCAGGGCAGAGTCCCGGCTGCAGGGCAGAGTCCCGCCTGCAGGGCAGAGTCACCGCTGTAGGGCAGAGTCCCGCCTGCAGGGCAGAGTCACGGAGCAGGGTAGAGTCACTGCTGCACGGCGGTACTTTCCTCTGGGTCTGGCTTTTGTTCTGTGAGAGAGGAGGACAGATGTGAGGTCAGGGCCACATCCCAGGGAAGCCCCCACAAACTGGCTACTCTGCGGAGTTCTCTCCCTCTGGATTTCAGGACTGATTTTGTCTCTTATTGCTGGCAGCCTAAACGGTGGTCACCGATCAGCTGTCACTAATTTCCAGGCTATTGCTCTGCTGCTCTGGGACCCCCAGACTTGGCGGGGCCTTTGTAAGATCCTGCCGTGCTCATCTCTTTCTCGCCAGGCCCTATTAAGAGTGATGGAAAATGTTCATGATTTTGGTGAACCACAAAGGACCCATTCTACCCAAGGCGCCAAACACTGGGTGGGGCCTCTGGCTCAAAGGAGTAGGGTGCTGGCCCCATATGCCAGAGGTGGTAGGTTCAAACCCAGCCCTAACCAAAAACTGCAAAAAAAAAAAAAAAAAAAGCACTGGACAAAGCCAGAAGCCTAAGCCCTGGCCTGGCTGGACCCACCCTGTCCTCTCTAGTTCACTCCCCAGCCCGCTGTTGTGGGCATCAGCGCGGAGTCTGGGTTGGCACAGGAAGAGAGGGAGGCAGAGAATAGAAGTTGCCCCATGCCTTCGGGGAACTGCAGGTCAATGGAGGGAGAAAGCTGTCATAACAATAATTGACAGAGTTAAGTACACACAGAAGGCCAGTACCTGGCCCATAGCTAAAAACAAACCCCCCACTGTTTCACACGCCCCTGTCAGATGGACCTCGTAGTCCTGGAGCCACCTTTTCTCAGAACTCCCTGGCTGGACCAGTTTGGGTTTTCGTCCCAGATCTACCTTGATTTACTTTTGGTCCAAAGTGGGCCCATGAGGGCTGAGGCCAGCTCTGGGGAAGCTTTCCCCACCTGCCGCGTCCCAGGGATTACACACTCTATGGACTCATCCTCTGACAGCCCAAACTAACACAAACTTAGCAAACGTTTACTGATTAAATGAATGAACGAACAAAAGTCACAGGAAAGAACCACTGTGTGCAGTGAGATTCTCTCACTGTGCCTCTCGGTCAGGTGATTCTTTTGTGAAGTTTGCTTTAGAAGCACTAAGTACATCAGTGTCTTTAAAT